CAATCCAAGCTTTGCGCTATTGCCAGAGAATTCCTCTGCGCGAGATGGCACCGGCAGCGGCAGGCCGAACAAGTTGGCCAGCAGTGGTATGAAGCAGCCGTCCGCAACCAGGCGTGAGTGCCTCATGAGTCTAGAGTTGCCACTCCATCCACTGTGCATCCGCGCCAGCGTCAGACGTCGTCAGCCTCCAGGAGACGCCTGGCAGAATCAGACCACACTGACCGGTCACTCTCTCACGGGCTCCGACAAGACCCGCCGGTGCCCCTGTCGACTAGCGCTGGACCAGTGCAATCAATCAATCCCTTTGTGACTGCCGAAATGCTGCGGACCAACAGTGTATCATGGCACGTTTCGTCGGCTCGACCCCGCTATCCTGACCTCGGTCACTAATATCTGGGCCGGTGTCCAGAACTTGTCGCTGCAGAATCTCAGCTTGAGTGAAGATGTCGGCGACATTCACTGTGTGTTTTGTTTGGCCGAGGACGAGGAACAAGCAACCGAACGCGTGATCCTGCTTTGCGGTCAGTGCCGAGCGTAGGCCCATCTTTGCTGCGCGGAAGAGTGGTTGGAGAAGTGACGTACAGGCTTTGGCACGTCATGCTGTGTGTGGTAAGTACGGATGATCTCAGTTCTGCAATGTCGGAGTGCTGATGAATGCAGTCGAAATGAAGGAAGTCTGGACGCCTTGATTCGTCCAGTCCGAGTCCCCTCAGCAAGCGAACCATCAACCGATAGAGAGCCTGTCACCGTCGGACATTCAGCACCAAACGAACCTAGTCAGAGTCAACTGCCTCAGCGATCAATGGGATCCCCACGGGTGTCAGTCGAGCAGAGTGGGCCCCGTCGCTCAGCCAGAGTGGCAGGGGCTCATCTACCGCGAGACCTGTCTACCTCTGCACCGCTTCGCCGGTCGGCACGACTGAATTCCACTCAGCGTAATTGATCATCCTTCACAGCGAATGAGAATAGGAAATTAGCGATGCTGCGTTCTGACTAGACCTCGCCAAACGCGGGTTTGGGTTGGGTTTTCAATTTCCTTACCCGCCCATGGGCAACCCACCGCGGGTTTTGGCTTTGATGAACCCGCCCATGGGCTCTTGGCGGGTACCCGCGGGTTGCCCAAAATACCCAAAAACATGCATAAATCGTGGATAAACTTGATTAGTCATCTAGTGTAATTTTGGTCATTTATTTCTGTCACGCTTTTGAGTGGATATTACACTGAAACAATGAACGCCATCGACCTGGAAATATATATTCTCTACAAGTAGATCACTGCCCCCATCGCCCTGCTTTACACATCTGAAGGGATTACAGGCCACATTGATGATTTTATGTAAATTCATCAATTGAGAATCTTTCGAGTGAGCTCAAAAATATTATCCTTAGTTCGATCATTTAAAATCAGTGATTTGGACCTTCTCAGTGTCCTCCCAAAGTCGTATTCATCTCCGGGCGGGTTGGGTTGGGTTGGGTTGGGTTTTGGGTACCCGCGGGTTTTACGCGACTCAGGAATAGATAGATCCAAACGCACGACGCGACTGGAACAAAATCCACAATCAAGTACTCAAGATGAAAAAAAATCCCCCCTTCTTCCAATACCAGTGGCCTTTTACTTCAGTATGGCGTCTTCTTCCTCATCATCGCGATCAATACATCGGCCTTTCAGTCCACTGCTCTCCATTGAGCCGTCATCTGACGGCTTCTTGGATTCTGACATTCAATCCTCCGTAAGAAAATGGTCCCTTCCACTAGCCTCTGAGTGTTGCGGCGCTACCTACATGTATACTAAGATGGACCGCAGCCTTTGACAGGACCCCGCAAAACCTACGACATAACTACTCGAAGACCTCCAGCGACACTCCGACGTGTGGGACCTCAGCACAGAAAGAAATGGATTGCGTACGAGTCGCATCTAGAGACAGAGTTTCTTGAATGGTGGAAGGAAACAGAGTACGGCCAAAAGCTGAACGGAGAAGGCCAATCCCAGATCAAATGGTCCACCGGATCGCGTCACGCTGATGTGTGGAAACACTTTGACCAGGTGGCTGATATTGATTCTGGGCGTCCTCGAGTCATCTGCCAGGCTTGTCTCACTGTGCTTGATCATCCACAGTATAAAGGGAATGGGACAAGCGCCATGAGTAGACACAAAAAGTCTAATACTTGTCGTAAAGGGAAGAAAAAGGGATTTAATCAGTCATTGATTTCGGATTCTTTGCAGAACCATTTCACGAGAGACTCACCCAGTGTCCACAGAGTGACAACATTTCAAATCGAGGAGCAGATATTGAAGACAATTACGTGTCTTCGTTTGCCTTTCCAGACGGTGGAGAACCCGGTGTTTCAGAGGCTACTCAGCCTTTTATATTCTGGTCCCGGAGAATTGGAACTCCCGTCAGCGAAGACCCTGCGGAGACGGCTCCGGGATGCAGTCAATTGCCAGCAAGAGTTACAGTTACAAGATCTGCCTGAAGATGCCAAGGTTTCCCTCGCTTTAGATTGTTGGACCAGTCCATTTCAGCAGGCATTCATGGCAATCACGGTTTATTTCATCGACAAAGATTGGAACTATAGGGAAATGCTCCTCGGCTTTGAGCCGTTGCACGGTCCTCATACAGGCAACAACCTTAGTGATGTTTTGCACCGGTTACTGGAGGAACGAAAACTTCTCGATCGTATTTTTAGCGTTACTACAGACAACGCTACCAACAACGACACCATGATACGCGCCTTGCAAGAGAGACTGCTCTCTATCGGAGCTATTAGCTCCAGGGAATCAATAGTCCGGGTTCCCTGCATGGCTCATGTGATCCAGCTTTGCCTGAAACAGCTACTGGGACATATCAGGGCAGCACCTAAGAATAAAGAAGTCAGAGCCTTTTGGTCCGACACCCAAGCCCACGGGTTGAAGGATTCGATCAACTATGGAGACGTGGCTCATACACTGACAAAGGTGAGCCAAGATATTCACTTTTTCAATATACTCAGAGCACTGACAGCATTAGATTCGATCCTTTGCGATCTTTGTCAACGCAAGCCCACAACGGCGTGATGCTTTTTTATGCCTCCAATCAGGTGGTACTCGGCTTTTTCCGTTACATGACGTTCAGACACGCTGGAATTCAACCTTTTTTGATGCTTCGCCGAGCACGCCGGCTGAGAAATGTAATCGACAAATACTGCTGCGATCATGAATACTCGCAGCTCAAGGTTACCGACGTTGAATGGAGGCAAATTGACTACCTCGTTCATTTGACCAAACCGTTTTTTCAGTTCACCATGGCTCTGATGAAGACCAGAGACGTCACAATCCATAGTGTGTTCCTTGTGTATAGGAAACTACTGGAGCATATCGAACGGTCGAATCGAAGATTGAAGAGAAAGACAACACCCTGGAAGAAAGACATGTATGGCGCGTTGCTTGTGGCGAGGCAGAAGCTGAAAGAGTACTACGAAAAAACCTACCGCGACCACGGTTTTCTCTATGGCACTGGAACATTACTTGCTCCTCAGTATAAACTGAGTGCTTTTGATGCTCGAGAGTACTCAACTTGCCATGAAGATACGTCAAAAAGGTACTGTGAATATTTGAGAGCATCTTTCACACAGTATCAGCAGCAGAACCCCGAGTTGCTATTCCGTACGGTCCAGCGATCTTCCAATTCGCATAGCACAGAGCTTGATCGGCTACTCGAGCCACCTGGTGCATCGATTTTCCATGAAGGAGTAGAGTATGACGAAGTGGACCAGTATCTTCGCGAAGGCACGAGCAATCAGTACAACACACTGGAACAACTGACTGACCTCGAATAGCCAATGTCCCTGTGTCGCCGCGACTTTATTGGAAAGAACACGAGCGCGAATTCCCAGTGCTGTCTAGGCTCGCACGAGACTTGCTTTCAGTCCCTGCCACCGGCGCGGGTGTAGAAAGGCTCTTCAATAGCGCACGAGACATTTGTCATTATCGCCGAGGGTCTCTTCACGAAGGGACCATTCAAGACTTGATGATGTACATGTGCTCAGAAAAGCTCACACTAGAGGGACAGCAATTGATTCGTCTGGAGAAACCGTTGGAGAGCGAGAGCCAAGAGGCACTTGAAGAGGATGAAGCGTTGAAGGCAATCGAAGAGGATGCAGAGCCGATCAGCGACAATGAGGAGATTGAAGAGAGCGAGAATCTCGAGGGTAACTCTGAGCCAGAGGAGACATACCAAGTGGAGTGTACGGTGGTAGAGACCGGCCGGAGCTCTATACACAGACATATTCACGAACCTGAACAAGAAGAAGAGAGTGTGGAGGAAGACGTGGTTGATTACGACGAAGCAGATTTACTTCCGCCTCCAATCATGCAATTGAGTGATAGAAGCCAGAAGAGATCTTCTGGTCGGGTAACAATGCCCTCCAGCAGACTGCGAGGTTACGAGGTATACTAGTCTTTATAATTAGCCAATTTGATTTCTTCAAGCCCTTCATGTTCCTTTCCAAATATTCACAGCTAGAAGCTAGTAGTTACGCCATCGAAACAATTAGATAATCGAAAATTACTGCATAACTTAGTGTAAAATGATCAGTCAGCTTTTTTTGCTTTTTTGGGTAATCGCGGGTACCCATTTGGGTCTTGGGTTGGGTTTCCCGGATGACAACCCGCCCATGGGTTTGCTGACTAAGACCCAACCCGGCCCATGGGCTGGGTTTTCGCGGGCGGGTTTGGGCGGTGGGCGGGTTTTGGCGAGGCCTACCAACAACCGGGTGGACTGAACCTGTGCACATCTCTGCTACAGGCTCACTTTTCCGGTGAATGGACTAGAACCGATGTGGTGGTGTGTTGCGAGGCCGGTGGCTTTGTCTATGCGTCGGCGCTGGCATTGCGGGTCGATTTACCCTTGGCGCTGATTCGCGAAGCCGGAAAACTCCCCCCACCCACCGTTTCCGTCTTCAAGTCTACGTCGCACATCTCATCTTCGACATCCAACGACATAGAAGGAAATAGGATCGAGATGGAACGGAATTTGATTCCCAGCGGTGCCTCAGTGGTGGTGGTGGACGATGTGCTTGCTACGGGGAAGACGCTTTGTGCGGTGCTAGATTTGTTAGATAAGGCTAACGTCGGTGCTAAGGATGTCAGCATCTTGGTTGTGGCTGAGTTCCCTGTTCACCGCGGCCGGGAATTATTGCGCCAACGCGGGTATGGCGGAGTCGATGTCCAAAGCCTTTTAGTCTTTGGGGGTGCTTAGGAAAGGATGACAGGGTCTCGGAATCTTGGGCTTCTGATCGAATTCAACTTCTTTCACGTCTTTTTTTTTTAAAGGTGTTAAGTTTCATGACCTCAACCTAGACAAAGTAATTTTTGCTTATTTGCAAACGAACCATTGCAATAATACGTGTTCGTGTAAACACGCTTGTTATGATATGAGGCCGGTGCAGATCAGGAACCAAGCCGCACCGTCGGAATTAGCTCCGAAGTGTCCATGCAAACGAGCAAGTTGATTTCCAATCAACTTGGCTCATCATTGTATATATAGGCTCACGTATCCTTTTGAGATAATAAGTCAATTTATAGCTCTGAACTACAACAGTCATGAGGAAGGGACAGATAGCTTGCAATCGCAACAGTATAGGGGAGCTCGAGCCGACAAGATCGTTCGCATCGTATTCGACTCGAGTGACGGGGATATAAGGGGCGCTGTTGTACGACCCGAGTCAAGCTTACCACTGTTGCCAAAGGGAATGTGACCGACTTTTGTGTGAACAGAGAGTCTCCAAGCTATCAAAGATCTCTTGGGTCCAACACCGGCCATGATCGGCTGGCAAGCCAGGCAGACCAAGCAAGCCAGATGTTACGAACCCATCAAAATGGTCATCTGTTATTTGTATCCCTGCCATGCAGTCAATCTTTGACCTTTACATGAGCTTCATGGTCGTACCTCTCTGACGCTTTTGAAATCCAACTCTGTCCATTTTTGCACGCCAGCACCACTTGAACCACCTTATTAAAATTTCTCGCTGACTCTGTGTCGATAGCAATAAATTGAATGTAAGCTGGAGCCGCCAGTTGAACTAATTTTGCTTTTGCTTTTTCTTTCTTGTAGAAATATTGACTCGCGTGCTCCGATGCTGACCGTGCAAGCTCTCAAGGGCAAGTTCAAAATGAAACTAGACTTGCTACAATCACCATGTGCACGAGCATGTCGACCGTCAGTAGAAGACCAACCACAAACCGAAGACCGACCACATTACGGTGAGAGACATAGAGCGAAACGCATCTGGCCTAATGTTGTTTGAAAGACAGTAAGCTCAGTAACTCGGCTTGGATCCAGGCAGGCTTTGACTACTTAGCACTCGGGATCCATTTCTGCAGACGTCCATCTCAGCAATAATGAGATGGTTCTAAGTAGAAGCCCTATTTGGAGGCGATGATGCGGTATTCATGGACTGGATGAGTTGACGCATAACCACATCAGTGCACACGGCGGACGAAAATTGTAACGGACTCGACGGCGTGCATGAAGAGATACTATGAACAAACACCTGAATGCATTTGCTCTACAGCTTCTACCGGTGTGACCCGCTGACAATAGCGACTTGAGGTGGCATCTGTGGCCCTATAAGGACCAAGGCCGTCGGAATTTGACGCCCGGAAGAAGACCGTTGGGGTCTCATGCGCAGTTGGAATGCGCGAAAGTAGACCATCTATAAATTGCATGATAATGCGCTTAGCTAGGTGAATAAAGTAGCTATTCGTCAGTCTGGCGGCAAGTATAGTTTGGTCAAATGATCCATCGGAAACAGATGTGCACTGGCTCCTGGGAGCTTTCAGCTGGATACTTGGAGATTACGAAAATTACGATGGAATTTGCAGCGTCATATCGTATTCACGGAGCAAAGCGCCAAGACAATAAGAGCACAAAACTCAGTTCTTCAGCAAGCCCTGATCGATCGCATCCAAATTCAGTGCGCGGTGGCAGGCCACGTGCTCGGCCATTCAAGACGACCATCGCGCCAATGAAATCCTCGGATCGAGAAATTTTCCTCCTGTGTCGCGAATCTTCTGTAATTTCGAATTTTGAAGATCCCAGGAACTAGTAAGCCACATGAAGTTGTCGGCAGGTCATGTGAGTTTCGGGTGAATACTATTGCCGGGAGCCGGGATCAGCTGACGTGCGTCAACAGTACCAAACCGCCGACCGGGACCTAGCGTGTCATAACTGTCTTAGGAACCCGTTTTTATCAGTTTATTTACAAATACATGGCCAATTCTAATATTCCGGACTATCAAACTCTCTATCTGCAGGCGGAAGAGGGACGGAGGCGGGCAGAAGAGCGCGAGAGGCAGGCAGAAGAGCGCGAGCAAAAGGAAGCAGAAGGGAGGCGACAGGCAGAAGAACGCGAGCAAAAGGAAGCAGAAGGGAGGCGACAGGCAGAAGAACGCACCCGACAGACCACCTTTACCGAGCTCATTCAGCACTGCCATGTCCTTCTCTCCCGATCATTGAGAGTTGATTCACCATCTCGTTCAACAACTGGAAAAATACCTCTCCCCAAAGGAAAATACTGCCCGGCTCGATTGGAACACTGGACCGACTGTCCAAAACAGCTTTCGGAAGTCTACAAGTCCGTGTGCCAACATCTTTGCCCGGAGCGGGAACCGCCGGCTCGCCAATTTTCGTCTCTAGCTGAGATAGAAGGGCTTGGCCGTCGATTTGCTCGCAGCCCATTGAGCAGCGAGCAACAACTGGAGGCCTACGAGCGATTTGGCGTTGAAGAACATGTTCATGATATTATAGCCGAGCTTTGCAAACTGCCAGCCGCTCGTGAGGAGTTCCAGCTTGGAGACGGAATCCAGTTCAGCAATCATAAGAATTCCCTGAACGAAGATGAAGCCGCGGAGGTTGAAGCAAACGAGCTACCCTGTACAAGTCAACCGCGGCCTGACCAGTTCTGCATCAACCGTGTCGACGGTGCCTCGACCACCATTCTGACGACTGTCGAGTACAAGCCGCCTCACAAGCTGTCTTCTGCAATCATACGCATGGGACTTCGACCAATGGACCTCTGGAAGGATATGGTCCGAGCCAATAAAACATCAACTGACCATGAAGAAAAGGTGAGACACAAGGCGGAACGACTCGTCTGCTCCGCCATTTCTCAGGAATACCATGTGATGATTGAAGAAGGACTTGAATATTCATATCTGACAAACGGGCTTACCCGCGTTCTGCTCCGTGTTCCGCTCGACCGGCCCAGCACGCTCTACTACTTTCTCTGTGATCCTCACAGCGAAATGACTCCAGAAAGTGATATGGCTTCCCTCCTATGGAGATCTTCTGTTGCGAGGGTACTGTGTCTTTGTTTGATGGCGTTTCGTTCATCTCCCCGAGGGCAAGAATGGAGAAATCGAGCGTACCCATTTCTTCACAAATGGGAAACAAGCTTCGACCGCACGCGCTCACAAATCCCAGGACAAGAATTGCAGCAAATTCCTCACTCCGATAGCACCAACCCCGAATTTCCGAGTCCAGATACTGGCTCATCCTATTCACTGCCATCGTCATCTCCGTTACCAGCGCCCTCGGAGAGCCGTCGAATTCCTACGCGATCTCAGACGAGCTGTGCGCCTTCGGAGGTTCGACCGCGGTCGAAGTCACCTGGATCCTCCGGCTCCGACACCAATCAAGCAGCCGGCCATAAGCGGAGGATCAGTCAGGTCACCTCTTCACCGTCCACTCGGCGATCAGGCCGTCAGCATAGGGCAGGGCAGGGCCAAGACGATTATTCCCAGCGCCGCGCCGCGCAATTCTGCACTCAGCGGTGCTTGCTTGGCTTGCGGACCAAAAATTATTTGGATGAGCTGTGTCCAAACGTGGATCATCATCGCCGAGGCCAGGCCGATCCGACTCAGCATCCAATATCGGCCGAGGAGTTGATGCTCTCATTGAAGAACCAGCTGGACGAAGACATGGACCGTTGCATATCTTTTGGTGATTGCGGCTCATACGGCGCTCCATTTAAATTGACCTGTATGAAATACGGCTACACGGTTATCGGGAAAGGCACCACTGCGGGGTTGTGGAAAGAAGTTTCTCGCGAAGCGGAGGTGTATCGAGTGCTCCACCAGGCCCAAGGATCTGCTGTGCCGGTTTTCTTGGGTACCATTGACTTGGCAAAAATATATTTTCTTCATGGCGCACGAATTCGCCACATGCTCGTCATGGGTTGGGGGGGGTGAGTGTACTGCGACGATGGAGCTGACGCAACAGCTTTGCCGCGAGATTCACAAGTCGAACAAGGAGATCAAATCTCTCGGGATAATACATGACGACCTGAGGCAAGAAAATGTTCTTTGGAATGAAGAGCTCGGGCGTGCTTTGATCATCGACTTTCACCGTTCTACTCTGAGATGCCGACCGTCTAAGCCGCGACGGGGTGCCGCAAAACGACGACCGCGTCAAGTGGGGACAAGAGATGCAAAACGTCTTCGTGTGTCATGAGAGGAATGCTCTCTTTCGTCCTGTGAGCACTAACTGATAGAATGATCGAATTTTAAAAAATCAGTTGAACAACTTCCGTCGGGCAATCGAGCTCTGTTTAAATACGACTGAGTGTTCTTACAATGCTGCAATCACATAATGCAGCCGAGTCATGTTGGAAATGCGCCTACGGAATGAAAACTCACGACTGTTCCCAGTCAGAAAAATTTGGTTTGTGGTAATTATGTTATTTAAGAGAGCGGGCGTAGAATTTCTGCGACGCCGGTTTAGTGATTTGGCACGGTTTTCAGCAAGCTATAGAAATGAACCTACTCATGTCACCATATTTACAATAAAAGAGCCGTCAGCCCTAGGCAATGTCTCGCGGCAAGGTAGCAAGAAGCCAATTGAAAATGTCAAGCCGTCTGCGGATCACGGCCCGGGCTAACGGGCTGACACCTTGATGATCAGGGACGTTGGTCTGAACCCGCGGAAATTTTGCGAGAAGGCAAAGCAACTGCCAGTTGCAGGTGTTCACTGCGTGCCAGAGGGCCGAACGACCGGAATAATCAAGCGATTCGGCTCGAATGTCTTTGTGCGACAACAGTGAATCAAGTATCCGGTTGCTATTGGGCTGATCACAGCCGTGGATCTTGGCAGCCAGTAGAAGTGCAGTATCGCCGTTGCTGTCTCGAGCATTGATGTTGACATTTTTGTGCTTCAGCAAAATTTCGACCGCCGTCACATCGTCGTAAATCACAGCAAGGTGGAGAAGAGTATGCCCACTCTTATCTGCGACGTTCACGTTGGTATGTGGATCGCAGAGGAGCGATTGCAAGATCTCGTGCTGTCGATATTCCATAGCCACCATGATTGGTCGTTGGTTGTTCCAATCTGGAAGGTTGACGCATACAGGGAACCGCCCCATCATGTATTGGACGAAGCAGCTCTTGCCCTGTATGATGGCCCAGGTGAGTACACTTGGGGCCCGGCAAGGGCACGAGGCGAGCACATGGTCATGTTGTATCTGCAGATTGTCCACCTCCAGCCTGTCTTTTTCTGACATAGACATTGAGGATGTGCAGCACACGCTGGACTCGACACTCGGAGGGCCCTCAGGGCGGTACATGTCCGCAGAACTTTCGAGATGGTACGCTGTTGACGGATATGATATTTTGAGCGAGATTGGGGGAAATTGCCCAGGTAGTTGTGACAAAGACTGCTCTGGGACAGAAATGAGAAGCTAGTAATGGATCAGATGATAACATAGCCCTCTTTATACCTGAATCATTGTATTCAGAAGTGCCATTGTCAGGATATCCTGAGCATTCTCGATCATCAGCATCTGATCAGCAAAAGGAAAGTGACGCGCATTCCTATGAAAGTTATCTAGCTCATATCTCAAACCCGAGATGGAGGCGAGAATGAACAGGGACAGGACATGATGTCGATCAAAGAATAGCCGTCGAATACTTGCAAAGTGATGATGAGACAGGCGGTCAAGGTATGCTAACCATCAGTGCAGCGTTCATGGCTATGCTGTGGAATGGAAGACGGAGATTGTGTACCTAATTGTTCTACGCACTTTAGCATTGAACCAAGATCGGCGCCACTGTCCCAAAGAGACCTCACATGGATCTTCAAAACCCTTGAACGGCCCTAGGATCTCGGTGAAGCGTTCCAGGGGCGCTGTAGCTCCCAGGACTAGTGTGCAGGGTTGCTAGGCAGGATTGTCATGAAGTTTACGGGATATCTAGAGAAATGATCTACCGGGCCCACGCTGTCCATGTGGGCCCAGGACTCCACTATTCTGCTGCTTCCTCGCACGATGTCTTGTGTTTAGGGTAGTCGATAGCTTTCTTCATATTGAAAGTCCATAGATGTATACGCAGAATTCTCACAAACATGCCTAGCAGCCATTATATGGATCCCAGGGTCGGATATGATGCTAGGAACGTGTAGCCTGCGAGAAGCTAAGCGGGGCTCAAAACGCGGGCAACCATTGCGGACAGCCAAAAATTCCTCCGCAAGTAATAATTTTCCCTGTGAGCGGACGGGTCTGGATTCAAGTTCAACGTGCAAATTCCAGAAGATATCTGCCCTGCGCCCACTTCGATGCGACAATCGAGAATGACACGAACAGGATATTTATGACATTCAGTAAAGATCAGATTGTGAGTGAAGAGGCGGCGGGTTTGATTGACCAAGGTGGACGGAAAATGGTCGCACTGTACTGTATGTATATACTCTATTGTGCTCCCTCCCTCGAAAACACTAGAAAAGCGGATAATTCCTTTGAACTACCATTGTTCATCATTCGATAATTGATGGAATACTGCTAGACCAGAAAATGCTCGGTTTAACACTCGCCCCCACCACTCTTCCTCTAAGCCCCCTTATCAATTCAAAACCGAAGATCTTGTTCAACGCCTGCAATTGAAAACTTCTCAAGCGCCCGGAGTCTCCTTTATGATGGCGTTACTTTGAGGACTAAGCCTCTCGAAGTTTTGGAAGAGACAAAATCAAAAACCGCAATAAATCAATTTTTTAGCCTTTTCCGGCATGAAGCCTCACAGATTAAACAGTACTGATGGAGCATGATGATACAATTGACTAGATCACAACAAGGCGCAGTAAGGGTAGTATAAGCCATGGGGCTCAAGCAGGCTAGTAAAGTGGAGCTGGTAAGATGTTGAAACATTGTTTCCCTCAATTCGAGATCTTATCATTTCAAAATTGGTTGGCCATGTATTCCAACGCCAGATACCGCGAAAATTATTTGTGATGTACAGTCAATTTTGTTGGTGCAGTCGAGCTGCCCTTTCGGCCTCAATAAACGACCTTACATGCAAATTAATCGCCTCGAGTGCACCTCAACGTTGGTCAGATGGCACCTATGCTTCGTATTTTGCCTTCTCGACGAGCAACTCGAAGTCTCAGTGGCATCTGAACTCGACTATATAAAAGCCACGACTTTCAACGTCCTTTTGCTCTGCTTCAAACAAGCGAGACAACAGTACCACGACTGCATCAAAGACAACGACATATACTATATCGCAAGCGTTCTGGACCCTCGAATCAAGACCAAGTGGCTCAAAACGCTACCAGATGGAGAGAAGATTATTGACCGAATTCGGGAGTTCCTGAAGAGAGCATATTCCACTACAAAACAGCCTGTATCGACTACTCCAAACACCAACTGGAAGAGCTTTGAATATCGATTTCTGAAAGCCTTTCAGCCTACACAGTATAACGTCACTGAGTCTGATATCGACAAGTATTTTGATACTCCGACAATCAGCACTGGTTTTGATACAAGCCAGAGCCAGTCCGAGTTTATACGAAACTGATGGAAGGCCAACATGCTTGAATTTAGTTGTATGGCAAAGGTAGCACAAGATCACCTTGCTATACCGGCAGCAGAGGTAGATATCGAGAGATTGTTCAATGGTGGGAGAGATGTGCTGGGGATTCGACGTTTTTCCATGAAAGGTAAGACCCTTGGGACCTTATTAAGGCTGAAAGATGCTGCACGTTGGAAGTCTTCATAGTTATACAGTAATAGTCTTTTTGGGCATACAAGTGGTTGATATTCTAGACCTTACTTGCAGAAGTATTCTTGTAGGGGCCGGGCATCTCGAAAAATTGTTCTACAAACCCTTTTTCCTAAAAAGGCTAGATGTTAGTTCGCGAACCTGTTCGAAGTTCGCGAATTTTGACGAATCGAATCGGCCATAGATTCGAAGCCCCTGTTGAGTATCACGGTGGTCAAAGCTTGTGTGGCGAGACTAGCGATGTACATTTAAATAGACGGGTTTCCCACTTTTGATAGTAACCCTAATAAGAATATTACAACTACCTATCTCAACAGGTTATGAGCCCGAGTGGCTTTACCTTTGGGCATGCAGGCATCTAAATACCAAAAATCCCTTGCCTATGATTACAGCTAAGCTTCTCTGTCAAGAGACCAACTCCATGAACTTCAGAAACTGATCATATATTCTCAGTAACTTGATGAAAAATACGATATCACATTGCTCAACCCTCTCCTGAAGCAATAACCTGGAGGAAATTCTTTTCACTGAAGAGCTACAGACAGCATGCTATCATTGCTACTGTGACAAGGGCACGCAGTATCGCAAGGTTGCCTCCATACCCGGGACATGTCGCCGTTTGCAGCAAGCCTTAGGGATTTCTCTGCCAAATAGCCATAGACAGTGTGCCATGATTGCTACAGTTACACTATGGACTGCCACGAGGTACTGCAAACGTTACCTACTGCTGAGACATGTCACCATTTTCAACAAGCTCGGTATCTATCTTCTTGGAGTCACCAGCCACAAGGCCATTTCGGAAGGTAAAATGCGAAAAGCACTACAAAAGAGACACTCTTGGACAGACGAGGAGCTGAAGATTCTCTCGTACCTCCGACGCACTTGCCACTGGCACTTCAAGCAAATCCAAAAGTCATACTTCCCATCACTTTCTCTGAGCGCACTCCGAGGAGCCTACTGGCACCAGTCTACCGAAGACCGCATACGCCGAGCATCGAACGCCACTATCCCAATCATCGATCCTCGCAACTCGGTCAAAGGCTTCTCAAGTGCCTCCAAAACTCATTCCATCTCGGATAATCTCAGTCGATCAGAAAACAGTATTGAGGCTTTGGCATCGACCCCTCAAAGTCCCGTGGATAGAAACAGGCTATTCATTTCCAACGAGTGCAACTCGAGTCGCTACGAACTCCGGCCAAACAGACCCTCAAACTTCCCTCCAAGAAAGCCGCAATATCTAGTTGACCGACGCCGTTTCCCCCACTTCCTTAGATCGTACAAGTACTCTCTCAATCGACAGGGGATCCCAGACAGCGACTATACTCCTCCATCTCGGATGCCTACGCCAAGCTCATCAGATCGAAGCGTTTCCATTGTCTCAAGCCTTCCTAGTGCCGCGTCAAGCCTTGAACTCTTCGGCTTGGAGGTGCGCTCTCCTCGGTCGTCAAATAGTGGCTCGGTTACCTCTGATCGGCCCAACGACATATCTAGCTCTGAATTCTTCAGCTCCGAGGAGCATCCTCTGCCGACATGACTGAAATCGCAAAGTTCGAGCAATTCGGAATCAATACGTTCTATAACGGAATTCCAACATTAGACAATGCCAGAGACTGGTTTCGGTGGAATCAGAAGGTCAATGAGTTCATTCGGATATCTGCGGTTGCCGACGATGGAGCGACTCCGCCGACAGAAGAAGAAGCAGCACGGCAATGGATTCACCGCCAAAAGTTCTATTCTGCGATGATTACGGCAAAGTTGACACACAATGCGGCGCAAAGAATCAATGCTTTTGAGATACCTCGAGTTCAAGCACTGCTTAAGGCAGTCCAGGACAACTTCAAACCGGAAGGCTCCGGCACGTATGTTAGCCTCCAACGACGATACATGGCCCTCACAAGAGACAAGTGTGGGAGCACCCAAGCGCTGGGGGCAGAGATCAGGAAGATTCATGCTGAAAAACTCCTTCTTGACCCTGATTGCGTGACCTCCGAAATTGAGCGAACATTTTTCTTTGTTCATGCACTCGGCCCCGAGTACGAGAGCTTCCGCGATCATATCTTCCGACAAATGGACCTTGTCAACGAAAGAGATGCAAATGGGAGTATTATCAAAGCAGCACCTACATTTGACTATATCGAGAATAAGGCCATTGAGGAAGAGCATAGAAAAGGGCAATTGGGCAAACAAGCAATGGAGTCGCAAGCTCTTCCTGCTCTTGCCCTAGTCCGTGGGCCAGGTGACAAGAAGCTCATACCGTCGTCGGACGGAACTACTTGTCGGATAGAGATTGATAACGTCCCATATTGCTCCTTCTGCCGAAAACCTTATCACATCGACGCCGAATGTTTCACCAAGAACCCGAGACTGAAGGTCCAAAGGAAGGACGGAGACGGACCGAAACCAAGACCAGGCAGGATGCACATAGGCGGACGCAGACAGTCGAAGAGGCGGACCTTGACGGACGACGAGGACGACGATGGGAGTGGTCCAAAAGACCCGAAGAAACCAACCTTCATGGCGACGAAAATCTCCGGAAAAGATGTCAACGAAGCATTTGGAAACGATATCGAGGGCAATCTCACCCTGTTTGACCATGTTCCCATTATGATGGCGATAAAGACCCCCTCCATCCGTGACGCGTGGATCGTGGATAGTGGATGCGCTCAACATGTTTGCAATAGCGCCTCCAGGTTTGTCCAAATGGCTAAATATCATGGGCCTTCACTGAGAGGCATTGATACCTCAACAGCTCCCTCGGGCGTGGGAACAGTAAATATCCTGTGCAATGTACGCGGCAGAAAGAAATGGCTAGTGCTTGATAACGTCCTGTATGTTCCATCTGCACATGCCAATCTCATATCGGTGCTCCAGCTTCTCCAACGAGGGGCAAAAGTCGAATTCTCAAGCCGGGATGCGATCCTTCGCAACAAGTCAAACGGAAAGAATCTGTTTACTGCCAGTGAATATCATGGAGTCTACGCACTCGATCTGTGGGCAAGTCTGACTTTCCCCTCTTACCATGTTGGCCCACAAATGTCTCTGTGGCACAGCCGGCTTGCCCATATGAGTGACGCAAACCTTCGGCGACTCAAGCAGCAAGCTCATGGCGTGCGGGACATGGAGGCACGTCATCCATGCAATCCCTGTCTGCAGGGGCGAATGATCGAAAGGTCTCACAGAAGATCAAGGGTCAGCAGGAGAGGAGAACACACAATGGACCTCCTCCATATTGACGTCGCAGGGCCATTCGATGAGGGCCTAGATGGCAGCCGTTACTGGCTAACCATCGTTGACGACTTCACGGGCTGGATCGAGATTTTCCCGATACCGCGAAGACAACACTTCGTCATAGAATCACTGCGGTTCTTCCTCGACCACAACGAGCGCCCCGAGCGAAAATGCAAACGAATACGTCTGGACCGGATATCTGAACATATGGGAGACGAGATGAAATTCATGTTGTTCTCGCGCGCAATCCAAGCGGAGGTGACAGGAGTGGATCAACATCAGCAAAATGGGGTTGCCGAAAGAGCTCATAAGACAATCTATGACCGTCTTGGGCCTACGCTGGCACATGCAAGGCTGCCGTCTAAGTTCTGGCCAGAAATTGCTCGAACTGCAGCTTTCCTCTCGAATCGGTCGCCGTCATCCAAGCTCAACATGACTCCGTACCAAGCGTGGTACGGCGACAGACCTGACCTCTCAAGACTAAGAATCATCGGATCAAAAGGAGAATACTTGATTCCGCCAAAGCAAAGAAAGAAGCTCACGGATCCACGAACAAGGCCATGTATTTTGCTGGGCTACGAGGGCAATACCAACTACCGTATCCTCCTGGGAGACGGGAGAATCGTTGGAACACCAAACGCTGAATTTCAAGAAGTCCTTACAACTCCCTCCACACAGACTTTACAAGATGTGGGAGCCAGACAAGACGGCTCACCTGAGGCAACGGCTGCTGTCGCAGGGGGAGTGGGACGGTGGGACTAATAAACCAACCGTCGGTAGGAATACGGCAAGCATCCGTGCCTGCCTCGGGGCGCCAATTGTCGATGGATCCCCCAGAGCGGGCCCTACCTAAGTCGAGAAACGATATCTCGCACACACTGCCTCGGAGTGATGATAACTCGCGAGTGCTTACCCAGCCGAGTGACGATAACTCGCAAACTCAAGCGTTGTCCCAAACGAGTGACGATGACTCGCAGCCAGCTGTTGCTGTACAGGGAGACAGGACCTTGTCGCGCACACGGAGTGAGAACACCTTCGGACCTCTATCACCTGCTTATCAGGATTCCGTCCTTGGGATTGAATCGCCACCCGGTGGCGACCAGCAACAGGGCGACGCGGTTGCTGCTCAAGGAGACATAACCTTATCGTCCATACGGAGAGGGAACACCCTCAAGCCACTATCACCTGATTATCAGGATTCTGTCCTTGGGATTGATTCACCATCCGGTGGCGACCAGCAACACCAACGAGGGCCAATTTTAGAACGGCAACGATATTCAGAGCTCCATCGGCCGGTCCATGAAGTTCAACAAGGAACATTAGATCAACACCCTGAACTAAAACTTCGGGCTTCGGAAGCCGCATTGGACAAACCTGATGGAGACGAAGAGCTTGCGCTCTTGAACGTACCTGAAGAAAAGGTCATTCCAACCTTCTTGGCCATGGCTGCAAAGGAGACGGAACCATTTGTGTTGTGACATGAGGCTGGTGCAGATCAGGAACCAAGCCGCACCGTCGGAATTAAGTCCGAGGTATCAATATGGACAACCCAAGTTGATTGGAAATCA